AGGACCACCTGGTCTTTGGGCTTTGCTTCTCTTGATGCATATGTTCCATTCTTCCTCCACTTCCTTTTGGTTCTGGGGCAACTGTAGTTTTATCTTGCCATGATGCTGACTTTGGCCCTGACTCTATCTGACTTCGGGGGACCAGCTTCTACCACGGTCTGGCTCTCTTCTCCAAGTCTTTGGTTCATATTCACGAGAACTTCTGATTAGTCACAGACCAGCTAGTAGAAGCTGGCTGGAAAGGGATCTGGTCCAATCATATCTGAAAAGGGATTTAGGGTCACCTGGCCTTTTACCCTCTCAGCAAGGGTTGCAGAAGGCAGCAGATTGTGAAGGGTTTATGGTTTGGATAGTCAAATTTGTTGATGTAACAGACATTCTACTCATTGAAATATGTGAATGTACTTGTCTCCTTCTCACCTCCTCCAGTGGGGCCTTCCCCATATTCAGCCAGAAGCAGGTTAGCAGAAATCCAATAATAAAGAAAGAATCAGTGTTCAGCTTTTAGTTTAAAACAGGGTCTTGAATTCTATAATGAAACAATAGTCTTGAAAGGCAGGCTTTGTTGAGAGAAAAAATGGGTTTTTCAATTACAAAAGCTCCTTTTACATATCAAGAGTAGAAAGGCGAATGCATTCGAACTGGTGATCTGAACAGAGAGTTTTGTTTTAAACCGAAGAGGAGACAACTCAGGATACGCTGTAGGGAAAGGCCCTACCAGCCTTCCCAGGGGCAAGGGTCAAACAGGGGATATGAGCAGAATGAGAGAACTGGAGAAGTTTGAGATCCCACGTGAGGGTCCTGGCTCCCCTCCCCAGGGGAGGGGCAAAGGGGTGATAAAATACAGTCCAGAGAGGTGTGTAAGCACCTAGTGTAACAGGGCTTATTCCTTATGTCTCAGGGATAACATGGAAAATTGTCAGCCCCTTTGAGAAGCCCTTTGTTTTGCGTGGAGCTGGAGCCTCAGAGAGGCATTCAGGATGTAGTTTGAAAATGGCTGAGTGAGATATCAAGGTGGTGGTCCTGAGAAGCCAGGAACTATGTACAGGCTATGTAAGTCCTTGGATGCTGGGGTAGAGGGATGAAGAAGAAAGAGTCTGGGGTCAGAATGAGCCTGCAACAGTTGGGGTCACACCACATGATACTCAAGATAACCAGGTGGGACCTGCTATGCCTCAGTGAGGACGCATACAGGACACACAGGGACAGAGTAGACCAGCCATACCACGGCAGGGGCCAGGAGGAACCATGGGGACAGCACTCAACCATCATCAGGCTATGTGAGCTTCCCTAGGCATTCAAGGGGGACCGTTCGGAGAAGGGAAATAGCCCTGGAGGAAATTTGATCTTTGAATCCAGTGAATATTTACTCAGAGGACTTGGAGTAGACCAAAAAGAGTCTGTTTTAAATTAGAAGAGATTGAATTATCTTTGATTTGCAAGTTTAAGTTTCTTTTCTATAATCAACAGGAATGGGGCTCAAGATCACATTGTGAACAGTTATAGTGACAAAATAGCTTTTTTTTTTTTTGCATATCTGATTCATTGTGTAAACTTTGCTCTTATCACGGTGTTGGGTCTACTAAACCCAGATCCTTTCACCCATCATTATTTAAATATATGTAACAAGACAGGTGGAAAGCGTGTACTTTAGCTTATTTGTTCGAGCAATGTTTGATGAACAAGCTCTAGGGGTGTAGCATGGAATGAGGCAGGTATGGTTACTGCCGTAGGGAACTGGCTAATCTTTGGGATAGAGGGAGGAGCAGGTCATTTTTCTGTCTGGGTGAAGAGTTGTCATTGTTCATTGCACTCTGTGGCCACTTGGAGGTGTTTTCTGCCCACACTATGTAAGAAGTTAGTACAATTCATGTATTGGGCAGTGTGGGAAGGCACTAAGTTAAAACTCCAACTTCAAATTTATTCCCTTTTTGTTACCTAGCCCTAAGGACCAGTGCCCCACAAGTGGGTCCTTTTGCCAGGGGTCGCTTGTGCCAATAGAACCAGACTGGGTTGAAAATAGTTGAGCAGAAACTTTGTTGATCAAGGAATGGAGGAGGGAGAGCTCGTGCTCTAATACACCTTCTCCCTGAAGACAGAGAGATGGCGAACTTTTAAAGGGCCAGGGTCATGGTGTCATCGGCCCTGGTTCCAGGAAAGGGGCAGTGACTTCCTGGAACAGTTGGTGCTTGTGCAGTTCTCTGAACTCCTTTGCGCATGACACCAAATGTGCCTAGCAAGGTACTCGGGGTGGGGGGGGGGGGGGATTTTTGTATGGTAATGAAGCAGAGGCAACTCTAGGTCACCTCCAAGTCCCTCTGCACAGGTGCTGCTCCCATAGTGGGGCTGGAACTGGTTTAGGGCGGTTTGCAGTTGAGATTTCTCTGAGACGGAAGCCTAGCTCAGCTGAAAAACATCTCAAGGGAAGATGTTAGGTGTGGGCCAAAGCTACGTTTCTCTGTTAGGAATACATGTGGGTGCAGCAGGGATATGTATGGGTGACATTTCCTCAAAGTTTGCCAATGCCTTCTGCTTTCTGAATCATTCCATCGTGTATATGTTGATTCATCATTATTTGCCCAGCAAATATTGATTCTGCTCCACTTTGAAGGCACTCTCTTAGTTGCTGGAGATACAGAGATAGATGGGGCCGTTTCCATCTTCAATTGTTGACTATCTATTGAGGACCATGAGTAAATCAATAAACACGGAGATGGGAATGCAGCTAACTTCTGCCTGAGTTGTGTGGTGGGGAGAAGGCAGCTCTGCCATTTGTGTTGTACATGGTGTACACAGCACAAGGGTACCAGACCAGGGTGACAGAAATCCAGCCTGTGAGCCCTGGTGCAGGACTGCATACACCGGAAGAGGGTTGCATTTTTATCCATACAAGGTACCATTTGCTTACCAAGTACGGTGGCCCTCCATCCACTGGAAAGTGTCTACCCACAAGAAGTAACTCCTTCTAGTTTGCACAAGGGTGCTGTCAAATCTACCAAGCAGTCATGAGAGAAGAGGGAATGTTTGAACTGAGTTAAAAGGCTGGATGGACATTGCCCCAAAGACGGAAGTGGAGGAGAGTTTTCCAGACAGAGGGTGAAGTGAGGGCAGATGAACTAGGGAGAGGGAGACCATGGTATGTTTGAGGAACAACAGTTTGTAAAAGAGACTGTTGGGGGAATTCTGGGATATTAGACCATAAGGATTGACAGAGGTCACTCATGACGGGGCGGGTGAGCTGAGATGTTCATCGTTGGCCTGTAGCTTTGGGGAGCCTTTGGAGGATTTAAGTATCACTTCCAAATCGGTGTATTCAGTGTGGATTAGTCCTTCCTCACCAGGCAACCCTGCTCTCCCCCACTGGCTTCTCTGTTTCTCTGACCTCTCATTTTCTGTCCTGCCTTGGCCACACGCTTTGGGATTTAATTATAGTCTGCCTTGTTCCCATCTATCCACTTCCTGTCAAATCTTCCTCTACCTTTATCTCTCACCAGATGTAAAGCTTTGTGACTGCAAGGACTGTGCCTTACTTAGGTTTCCTAAAGAAATTTTCTTTTAGCAGCATTTTTCAAGGTATAGTATACATAACATCTGTGGTAAAGTGACTTTAAGTAGCATACTAACAAATATTTGTCTTTTAATATACTTATTTTATAGTCATATAACTTTTATAAATATATTTATTTTAATGTGTCATAAGAAAAAGTACCACAGGCATACCAAATCCATGATGTCATGGATGTATCTGTTTAGGATAAAGCTAAAATGAAGTTTAAGAATTAGTTGATTTAATGAAAAAAAATATTGGTGGCTCACAGATATGGGAAAAATTGTAAAGATGGTGTGCAAATGACTGATATTCAAGATCTAGCCCAGTGTTGTATAGGCCAGTAAGACTTAACAAATAGCAGTTGGAAAAGTGACTTGATTTTAATTAGTTTTGTACTACATATCAGGATAGTTTGCCTAAAAGGTAGCAGTCAGTATAAGAACTTGGAAGGAAGGGAGAAGGAAGGAAGGGAGAGAGGGAAAGAGAGAGGAAGGGAGAGAAGGAGTGGGAGAAAACAGTGCCTTCACAGCCTGAAGAAGTCAGGGGTCCCTGTTGCTGGGTTGGGGTTGATGAGATGGCTCAGAGTCCTGTGTTAAATTTAAGAGGATCCCCAGGTGGCCAGGAAGAGGTTGGAGCTCCATTCCTCACAGATGCGAAGGTTACCAGGGCAGGAGGGAGAATGATAGCATCATCTAGTTGACTTCCCCACATCTAACTCTGATATCTCTCCTTCCTCAGTGGTGACTCTGTCGTCCCACCCCGGCCCAGTACACACAGGAGGAAAAGCACTGACCCTTGAAGTTTGTCTCCAACTGAAACCATTAATTAATTTCAATGGGTATTCTCTGGACAGAGTTTATAGTTTTAAGTTTTTAAGTGTCTGGTTACCCAATCAAACACCCTATCTTTGGCTAAAGTAATTTCAGGTGACAGAGAGGTGGGAGAGAGTGTGGGTTTGGGGAGGAGCAGGCCTTACCCTGGGCTTTGAAATCATAGCCAGGTAGGGTGACCTACAGGGTAAACATGCAGTGGTAGGTCTAGGATGCCTGGAATCATGTCACCCCAGCCCTTTGATTCTCTCCCTTGGTCTCCATGTCCACAAATACAGAGGGTCTTAGGCCCGTTTTCATATCACCTCTTGCATCAATGAAGATCACACAGGGGACACATGGTACATCAGAGGGTCCTATTGAAGAGGGTTTAATGAAGGGGCATTTACTGAGATGGGGTGGAGTGAAGGGGGCCCACACAGGTGGTGAAGCTCCCAGGGTTAGCAACAGTGGGGCCTGACTTTCCCCGGGCCTGATGAAGCTGGGATGGGGGATGATGTTACTGAACTGATGAGACAGGAACTGTGGCCATAGTGGAATGCAGCCACTGCCAAAAAACGTGGCTGGGAGGGAGGAATCGGAGGGCTAAATACTCCAATTTTGTTTTCTTTTTCACCCAGTGGTCAAACCTAACCAGGATCCAGAGACCTGGAAGGCTGGGTGATTCGATCTATACAGGTGAGCCTCCTGGGGCCCAGAGAGGGCAAGAGGAAGTGATGGAGGGGAATGGTTCTGACAGGCAGAGAATAACTGGTGTCTTCCTGCCTGTCCACTTCCCAGAGACTCCCAAGCCCAACCCACAGCTTGAAAATCACCACGCTCTGCAGAAAGTCAGATCTGAAGGATTAAAAAAGAAAAAAAAAAGGGAAGTAGAGGACACCTTTATATTTTATACTTTATAGACGTTAGTGCTTTTTTTGCACCTTTTGTTTACCTCACAACAGTTCTGTGAAATACATATCACAGAAGCTAAGTAGAAGGTGTGTCTTGCTCAAATCATTCTTACTGGAATCAGGCCTTGGCTTGACACTCTGTCTCTAAACCCTTCTCTTTGCTTTGAACCAGTGTCTTTCAAACTGTGGGTCTCAAAGCACTGGTGAGCCTTAAAACAATTCAGTGGATTGTGACCAGCTTTTGGAAAATAATGAAATAGGATTGAAGAGAAGAGTTTCGAAGATATTGGAGTTTATTACCTGTCATAAGAGTAAATATCATTTCTTGAAACTTTCATTTCAGTTGTATACACACACACACAAACACACATACACACCTATATGCTTGTGCATAGTAGTTGAGGTGCCAAATATATTTCTTCCTGAGGTGTCTGTTCAATAATGTCTGACAACGCTGCACTAGACCGTCTATCATACTCTCCCCACTCTATGAGAGATTTGTTGGTCTTTCACTCATTTGTTCATTCAGTCTCATTTATTGAATGTGTTTTATGTGCCAGATTCTGAACTCAAACATCCCCAGAGTCTGAACTCAATATCACCATCTGGTGTGCATCTCTTTCTTTCAGGGCAAGTTCTTTCTCCATTCTCTCCTTACACTCCCGACTTCACTGCCTTCACTCACCTGAACAATCCATGCTGGCTTTCATCTTAGGGGCCTTTGCAAAACTCCACTCTCCCTCTCTCCTCTCTCTTTGAGCTAATTCCTATTCACCCTTCAGGTAAAGAATCCTTCCCTCTGAGAATCCTCAAAGCCTGGCTCTGGTTCTTGAGGCAATTTTAAAATAAGGCTGCAAATCCCTTGACCTTGTTCCACAGACAGGTGGGGACTATGTCACCTCCAAGGGGAGTCTGGGTGCTCTCCTTACTACTTCAACCAGTAGAGTATAGTAGAAGGGAAACTGTGACTTCTAAAGCTAGGTCATGAAAGGTCATGCAACTTCCACCTTATTTGCTGAAACACTCGCTTTTGGAGCCCTGATGCCATGTAAGAAATCCAAGTACCCAAGGCCACCATGGGGGAGAAGCTACGTGTCGGTGCTTCACTGGAGAGTATCAGCTGGACCCAGCCTTTGAGCCATTTCTGCCAACGTGCCAGACATGTGATTGGGCTGTCTTGCACCCTCCAGATCAGCCTACCTACCAAATGTACACCAGCGAGGGATCTCCATGGATACCATGGAGAAGAGGAGAATTACACAACTGAGTCCTGCCTGCATTTGTGACCCACAAAATTATGAGCTATAATAAAATGGCTCTTGTTTTAAGTCATTACATTTTGGGGTGGCTTGTTGTGTAGCAATAGATAACTGCAACAATTCTCTCTCTCTCTGCTTTCATAGCATTCTATTTTGTCCCCGCTGTAGAGCTTAATTATCCCACTGTAGCTTAATTTCCTAATATCTACCTGTCTGTTTTTTCTAGTAGAAAATATGAAGCCAGGAATGACATTTTGCTGGCCATTATATTTCCAATATCTAGCATCAGGTATGCAAAAATATGGCCTTAATAATTATTTTTTAAAATTTGGGTTGGATTGAATTAAATGGAATAGGACAGAGCTGATTACAGGTCAAGTGTCCATACACCCATGTTGGCCTGGGACCTACTGACCTGATGTAATTATTAATAAAGTCTTCTTTCACTCTCAAATTTAAGGGGTAAATTATATGGGTACCCTAATTAGGGGGTATTTGTGGGATCAGGGAAGGATTCTGAGCAGTAGCCATAAGATTTATTAGAGTTTGGATTTGGCTCTAGTTGGGTAAGAATGTTGGATTTTTAGATGAGAAACTTTGAAGAGTGACTATTATTACCCCGTTGCCATTTTATTTTGATTATGTGCTCTATAATTAGATGTTGAAAATGCTAATATATATTAATACTTGATTGATTTGATTACCCATCCTAATTACACTTTGATCACTTTTGATAAATATATTGATTCATATTTTATTTACTTCGCAGAAGTCTTTGTACAACTCTGCTTTGATAATATCTGATTACATCTTAATATTTGATTGCGTTGAGTGGCTCTTGTTTTAACCATTGGGAAGTTGGATCATATTAGCTGTGATGTACCTTACTGGGTGGTTATGAACATAGCTTTTGCAGTGAAACATGCGTGGGGTTGGTATTCCCTGCTACTTACCATAGTGTGACATTTGTTAGGTCACTTAACCTTTCTGGTTTTTAGACTCCTCATCTATAAAAATGGAGATAATAATAAAAGTTACTTGTAAGGGTGCCAAGTGGATTAAGTGAGATAATATGTATTAATGATATTAATGTATTAATTAGTATGGGGACCTAACTGACATTTCAGATAATTCTAATATGTAGGTGATATTCCTTACTCTCACCTAAATATCTGCTTTCATGAGCTGATGTGCATGCATTCAGGCTTTTTGTTGTTGATGTTGTTTCAGGGGCTCAGGGAGAAGGGAGGAAGAGTTTTGGGTAGGATTCTGGTGAGGCAGAGAAAGGAGAGAGAATAATGAAGGGCATGGCATGGTGTGGACTCCATCCTCCTATTCAGGCCACAAGGTGCAGGTGTTCACTGTAAAGAGGGCCTGGCAGCAGGTGGGACGGAAACCCATGTCTGGCTTCAGGGGAGGGGCGTCCTGTCTAATTCACACAGACGGGCCCTGAGAGCTACTCAAAGGAGCTGTATGAGAGAGGCCCTTGTGCCCACTGGTTTGAGGTCCAGTAGGAAGAGAGAGAGAGCAAACAGCTGAAGGACCTGTGTGTGTAAGAGACTTTGTACAACTCTGGGCACAAGAAGGGCTGTTTTAGGGCTCAGGAGGATACCTCCATCCTCACCCCTGGGAAATTCTGCCCTAGATTCCAGGGCTGCTGATGGAAGAGGGCTCTACCTGGCAGATCAGCATTCTCATGAAGTTCAGAGACATTGGTGTGTATGTTGTTGGAGAGAGGGGAACGTGGAGTGTGTGTGTGTGGGGCGCCCTTTAATTACTGTAATAGCAAGAAATCTTAGACTCCTTGTACTCTGCCAGCACTTTACACACATTATCACTTTTAATGGGCACAACAACCTTGTGACAACAACCACTGGTACTTTTATCATCCCCATTTTACAGATGGGAAACAGAGGCAAAGTAAGTAACTTCCCCCAACGTGACAGACAGTAACTGGCAGAGCCAGGATTTGAATCCAGGCCCTCAGATGTCAGAGCTGCTGCTCTTAGCCATTACACCAGATTTCCTCCTTGTCAGGGAAACGTGAATGGTCCTGAGCACAGGTGGGCCTCCCACTGCTACCCTTGGGGAGCCCTGGAGCGGGGCTGAGCTGAATTCCTACATGAGCCCATGATCGAAAACTCACTGAAATCTAGGCATGTGTTAATGTGACCCCATCTCTTCCCTCAGCCTGGTGACACTGCGTTTTGGGATATAAAGTACATATGCCCTGGACCTGGCCCATGCTTAGAGGCATCTGTTTTTGGGGTTATGGATGATGGGTGTAGCAGCTCCTTTCTTCAGTCATGTTTTTAGAGATGAGAACATGGAAACCCTCTTAACCAAACCAGTGCCCTCTTTGGCCTCCCATTGAGACTGTCCTCTCCTCTGACCTGGTCTGAGGTCTACAGGGCACTGGAAAGAGACCTGGAAGTGGGTAATAGTCCCCTGGTGTTGGGCCATCAAAGAAGGCCATGGGCTGCCCATTGGCCAGGGTCACTGGCTGCTTTCCAGAAAATCCTGAGGCCCTGGAAATGTGTGCACGGAACACCAGAGCCACCACTTTGATGCTTACAGGACACTTTTACAAAATCCCATATGAATGACCACAAGTCAGCCAGCACCTTCTCTTCCTTCCTTCACAGAAAACCAATTTACCCATATCCTTGACACTGAGATGTTCTCTCTCTTTTCTGTCATTCTATTTTATAACTTTTTAAGTATATACAGTATTATCTTTAATATGTTTGGGATTTTCAAGACTAAAAAGTTACTTTTCTCCTTTGTATATGAAAAAAATTTTTTAATATGCATAAATTAAAAAAAAAAGACCTTGGAGGAAATATAGTAAAATGCTAACAAGTCTGTGGGTGATGCTATTATGGGTTATTTTGATTTTCTTCTCTATGGTTCTGAGTAAGCATGTTCTGCTTTTACAAAATGAAAGGAAGTGGATTTTGTGTGTGTGGGTGTTTTGGGGTTTTTTTTGGAGAGTAGTTGTCTCTTTAAGTACAGTTTTATTCTATTTAGTGGAGACAACTTTTATTTTGAGTAGTCAAGACTTTTTTTGTTTGTGTCTTATTTTACTCCCTGAAATTCCTTCGTGACAGATCTGTCCAGCTGAGAAGGAGGTAGATTAATGACCAAAAGTACAGACCCAGCCAACTTCTCATCTGAGAGTTGAAGGGAAAGAGCTTTGGACTGGGGGATGGATGGGCAAGTTCCAGTTCTGAGGCACCAAACATTGAGTGAGTGCCTAGGTCTCCTTGTGTAGTAGTCTGTCACCCTTCCAGGACCAAGCTGCAGTGAATCTTTGGTGCCTTGTGGAAGTCAATGGGGAAATAGGGCAAAAATTAGCCTACAGCTGATTTTGTTGGACTATAAGGATTCAATTACCTGAAGATCCTGGTAGTTCAGATTAAGTATGAGAATGGCTCTTCCTACTGCTGAGTAAAAGCAGAAAACTCAACCACTGGCAATCTGGCAGGGTGTCCTGGAATTGGTATTTGGAGTGATGTTTTTAAGG